TCAGCATCATCATCAGCATCACCAGCATCAGTATCATCATCAGCATCAGCATCAGCATCATCGTCATCATCATCTCTGAAAACGACCCGCTTATGGCGCCGGAGTGTCCTAACTACTGCCGAATCCTTCTCTGATGCCACCCGCTCCTCCTGTTTCTACTTCCGCTCCTCTCCATCCTCCACCCGACCTTCCTCCTCGGGACGGAGGGGGAAGAGGACGAGAGGGAAGAGAGGAGCAGAGGAAGAGCCAGAGGGAGTGTGAGAAAGAGAGAGAGAGGGGGGAGAGAGAGAGAGAGAGAGCGGAAACGAAAAACGGAAGAAGAAAGAGAGAGAGAGAGAGAAGACGGAAGGGAGAGGAAGTCCAGGGGTGGAGGGGAGAGACAAGGAGGCAGGGAGCAGGCGAGGGGGAATGCCGGAAGGCGAAGATCGAGTGGACATGGGGGGGGAGAGGAAAGGGAGGGGAAGGGTCAGGTCGGGCATGTCCCCCAACAGGCGGATTTTGGACGAACAACAACAATCTCACACACACACACACACACACAAAAAAAAAAAAAAAAACACTCGAACAATCATCCCTAGACTATTCTCTGACAATGTTTAGATATTCCCCGTGTAGAGGGACATGCCCGACTGAAGGGAAGGGAGGGGAAGGAAGTGGCTGGCATGCCAAGGAACAAGTCCCGAGGGACACGGGCCCACTGGATCCCACGGCCCCCCCCCCCCAGAGGCCCAGGGAAGGCCCTCCTTCTATTGGAGGCTTGGACCTGGACACGGACACCAAAACAGGGGGTTGCGTTCCCTGGGTGAGGATGATCCTAGATTGAGGCCTCCTAGATGGGGTCCGAGTAGACGGGGTCGGAGGATCTCGCCGCATCGCCGACACATCGGCAATGCATCGCCGATGCATCGGCGATGCGCTGGCAGCGTCGGCGATGCATTGGCGACGTCGGCGTGGACCCCAAGTCCGCACATGACGCGCAGGGACGGCGCACGCGTGAAGCTCTTCCCCCCCCTCCTTCTCCTCCTCCTCCTTCTCCCCCTCCTCCTTCTCCTCGGACATCCGCCTCCGCCTCCGCCTCCTCCTCCTCATCCTCCTCCTCCTCCTCCTCCTCCTCCTCCTCCTCCTCCTCCTCCTCCTCCCCCTGGTCATCATCATCATCATCATCATCATCATCATCATCATCATCATCATCATCATCATCATCATCATCATCATCATCATCATCATCATCATCATCATCATCATCATCATCATCATCATCATCATCATCATCATCATCATCATCATCATCATCATCATCATCATCAACCACCACCACCGCCACCATCATCATCATCATCATCAGCAGCAGCAGCAACAGCATCATCATCATCATCATCATCATCATCATCATCATCATCATCATCATCATCATCATCATCATCATCATCATCATCATATCGTCATCGTCAACAGCATCATCAGCATAATCAACATCATCATCATCATCATGATCATCACCACCACCACCACCATCATCATCAGCATCATCAGCATCACCTCCTTCTCCTCAATATTACCACCACTAGCACCATCATTGTCATATGTATCCTCATGGTCAGCCGTATCGTCATCCTCATTATGATCCTCATCCCCATCCTCATCATCATCAGTATCATCACCAGCATCAATCAGCATCGTCATCATCATCATCATCATCGTCGTCCTCGTCGTCGTCGTCGTTATCATCGTCATCATCACCCTCATTTGAGGGAGTTTCTGTGGAACTCACGTCATCCTCACCCCTGGCGCGAAGAGCACGAGCCCAGAGCGGCCTCCGGCACCGTTTCCGGACGGATCCGCTGGATCCGCTGGATCCGGTGACGAATCCCAAACCGGCGCCCTCGCCTGAGACATCCTCAGAGCCCAGAGGAGCCCAGAGCGGCCTCCGGCACCGTTTCCGGACGGATCCGCTGGATCCGGGATCACGATCCCAAACCGGCTCGCCTGATCCGGGCTGGATCCGGTTCCGATCCGAATCCCAAACCGGCGCCCTCGCCTGAGACATCCTCACAAAACGGGCCCCGGGGGGGATGCCCAGAGGAGCCCAGAGCGGCCTCCGGCACCGTTTCCGCTGGATCCGCTGGATCCGCCGGTGGATCCGGTGACGAATCCCAAACCGGCGCCCTCGCCTGAGACATCCTCACAAAACGGGCTTCGGGGGGGATGCCCAGAGGAGCCCAGAGCGGCCTCCGGCACCGTTTCTGGACGGATCCGCTGGATCCGGTGGATCCGCCGACGAATCCCAAACCGGCGCCCTCCTCGGCTTCCCTTTCCAACTGGTCAGGATTCGTGCCCCTTCCCCTCCTCCAGGGAGGCCCGGCCAGAGCGAGGACGGCGAAAGTGTTTTCCGTAAGCCCGCGAGTCAATCAAAGTTTACTTTGGGGAACTCCGATAGCATAATTTGGGGAGTTTCTTCGTGGCCGCTTGGGATTCGGATGCGGTGCTTCGCCCCCTCGTCATCGCCCCCTCCTCCTCCCTCCCCCTTTCCCTTCATCCTCCCCCCCCCCCTCCCGCTCTTCCACTTCTCTCCCTCCCCTCCTTTCCCCCTCCCCCCCCCCCCTCCCTCCCTCCCTCCCTCCCTCTTCCGCCCTCCCGGGGAGGTGGTGGGGGGGCGGGGGTTGAGGCAGGAGGAGGAGGAGGAGCAGCAGTAGCAGGGGGGGTGTGGAGGATTGGGAGGAGGAGGAAGAGGAGAAGGAGGAGGAGGAGGAGGAGGAGGAGGAGGGGGACGGGGAGGAGCCGATGGGGGAGGAGGAGGGAGATGAAGAGGAGGAGATAGAGAGGAAGAAACGGGAGGATGCGGAGGACGAGGAGGAGGAGGGGGAGGAGGAGGAGGAGGAGGAGAAGGAGGAGGAGAACGAGCAGGAGGAGGAGGAGGCGGAGGGCCCTGATCTCCGACGATACGATTCTTTCAATCCTGGTGGCTTTCCTCGGTTTCGGGCTTCGGTGCCGCGTTCTGGCATCATGGCGCAGCAAAGACGGATCTGGGGAAGGGGTCGGGACGTTCTGGGGCCGCGGGGGCTGAGGATGCGGTGTGTGGAAGAGCAGGATGAGGAGGAGGAGGAGGAGGAGGAGGAGGAGGAAGGAGGAGGAGGCGGAGGAGGCGGAAGAGGAGGACCAGGGTGCGGGAGGAGGAGGAGGATGAGCAGGAGTAGGATGAGGAGGAAGAGGATGAACAGGAGTAGGAGGAGGAGGAGGAGGAGGAGAAGGAGGATGCGGTAGGACGATGATGATGATGATGCTGATGATGATGATGATGATGATGATGATGATGACGATGATGATGATGATGATGATGATGGAGGAGGAGGAGGAGGAGGAGAGGAGGTGGGCGAGGAGGAGGAGGAGGAGGAGGAGGATTTCTCGGGGCGCGCGATTTCCGCAGACTTTTCGCCGCTGGTTCGCCCCCTCGCGAGCCTCGCCCTCCTGATGCTCACGCTCTTTCTCCTCTCGATCATTTCCCTCTCGCCCAGAAGCGCGCGCCCATTCTTCTATATACAGAAACTCCCGATCAACCGCAGAGCGGCCGGCTAGTCAGCATCATCCTCATCATTATCAGAAACATCATCGTCATCATCACCCTCATCAGCATCATCACGCTCATCACCCTCAGAATCACTACCGCAACCGTCACCACCACCACCACAAGCACCATCATCATCACCACCACCATCATCATCATCAGCAACAGCAGCATCCTCATCATTATGATCATCAGCATCATAATCATCATCATCAGCATCATCATCACCAGCATCGTCAGCATCATCAGCACCACGAGCAGCATCAGCATCAGCAGTAGCAGCAGCATAATCAGCGTCGTTATCGTCGGCATCAGCATCAGCAGAAGCATCATCATTACCACCAGCATCATCATCAGCATCGTCATCATCACTTCAATCATCGTCATCACCAGCATGATCGGCAGCATCACTGTCATCAGCACAATCAAAGCCACCATCACCAACATCCACATCATGATCGTCATTATCATCATCAGCATGATCATCAGCAACAGCAACATTATCAGCAGGATCCATATCATCACCATCCAAGAAACCGTATCATCCTCATCGTCGTCATCAGAAGCAGCAACTTATCATCAACAGCATCATCCTCAGCATGCTCATCAGCATTATCGTCGTCATCATCACCATCACAATCGTCAGCGGCAGTGTCATCAGCACAGAGCTCATCAGCATCACTCTCCGCACCAGCACCATCGCCATCATTATCAACATCATCCGCATCGGCATCAACATCGCCATCATCATACAAGAACCTGTCAGCCTCACCACCGTCACAATGATAACAATCATCATGCTCATCATCATCCATAGCTCGTCGTCATCATCACCGTCATCGCCATCAGCATCGTTATCATCATCACCGTCGGCATCGCCACAGCATAATAATCATCAGCAGCAGCACCACCATCCTCGTCAGGACCTCCACCGCCCCTATCAACGCCACCATCATCCGTATCATCATCATCATCGTCAACAACAGCATCATCAGCATCCTCAACATCAGCACAAGCGTCCACCTAATCAGCATTAGCATTACCATCACCATCCTTATCGACAGACGAAAGCATCACCTTATCGTAAGCATCAGCATTATCACAATCAGCGTCACCATCATCAACAGTCACAGCATCATCATCGCCATCATCATAACAGTCACCAGATCCAGCAGCAGTATCATCATCAGCATATCTTCAGCAGCAGCAGCTGCAACACTATCATTAGACTCAACAGCAGCATCAATATCATCGTCTTCATCGGCACCGTCATTCTCGTCTTCATCCGTTCCATCCTTCTGTGCCTCCTCCTCCTCCTCCTCGTTCTCCTCCTCCTCCTCCTCCTCCTCCTCCTCCTCCTCCTCCTTCGCCAGGAAGGGCACCCCGAAGCGCCGCCCACATGCCCCCCCCCCCCCCCCCACCCGGGAGCAAGGGCGGCCTCATACAGCACGGCGACGATCACTATGCCCACGGCGCAGCCCGCGAGGACCTGGTCTGCGTCGGCGACGGGCGGGGGCGGCACTCGTCCTCCGCCTCCTGCTCCTCCTCCTACTCCTCCTCCGCCTCCTCCGCCTCATCCACTTCCTTCCTCCTCCTCATCCTCCTCTCCTCCTCCTCCTCCTCCTCCTCCTTCCTCCTCCTCCTCCTGGTACTCTTCCTCCTCCTGACCATCATCATCATCAGCATCAGCATCATCATCATCATCATCATCATCATCATCATCATCATCATCATCATCATCATCATCATCAGCAGCAGCAGCAGCAGAAGCATCATCATCATCATCATCATCATCATCATCAGCAGCATCATCATCAGCATCATCATCATCATCATCATCATCATCATCATCAGCATCATCATCATCATCATCATCATCATCATCATCATCATCATCATCATCATCCTCATCATCATTAGCATCAGCAGCATCATCATCACCAGAAGCATCATCAGCAGCATCAGCATCAGCATCAGCATCAGCCGAATCGTCAGCAGCATCAGCATCAGCATCATCAGCATCAGCATCACTACCATCATCCTCCTCCTCCTGCTCCTCCTCCTCCTGCTCCTCCTCCTGCTCCTCCTCCTCCTCCTCCTGGTACTCTTCCTCCGCCTGACCATCATCATCATCATCATCATCATCATCATCATCATCATCATCATCATCATCATCATCAGCATCATCATCATCATCAGCATCATCATCATCATCATCATCATCATCACCATCATCATCATCACCATCATCATCATCATCATCATCATCATCAGCATCATCATCATCATAATCATCATCATCATCATCATCATTTTCATCATCACCATCATCATCATCATAATCATCATCATCATCATCACCATCATCACCATCATCACCATCATCACCATCATCATCAGCATCATCATCACCATCATCATCATCATCATCATCATCATCATCATCAGCATCATCATCATCATCAGCATCATCGTCATCATCGTCATCATCAGCAGCACCAGCAGCAGCAGGAGCATAATCATCATCATCATCATCATCATCATCATCATCATCATCATCATCATCAGCATCAGCATCATCAGCATCAGCAGCAGCACCAGCAGCATCATCATCACCAGAAGCATCGTCAGCAGCATCAGCATCAGCATCAGCATCAGCCGAATCGTCAGCAGCATCAGCATCAGCATCATCAGCATCAGCATCACTACCATCATCCTCCTCCTCCTCCTGCTCCTCCTCCTCCTGCTTCTCCTCCTCCTCCTTCCTCCTCTTCCTGGTACTCTTCCTCCTCCTGACCACCATCATCATCATCATCATCATCATCATCATCATCATCATCATCATCATCATCAGCATCATAATCATCATAATCATCATCAGCAGCAGCAGCATCATCATCATCAGCATCATCATCATCCCCATCATCATCAGCATCATCATCAGCAGCAGCAGCATGATCACCAGCAGCATCATCAGCAGCATCAGCATCAGCATCAGCATCAGCAGAATCATCCGCAGCAGCATCATCAGCATCATCATCAGCATCATCATCAGCATCAGCATCATCACCACCGCCAACATCAACATCATTATCATCATGATCAGCAGCAGCATCAGAATCATCATCAGCATCATCATCAGAATCACCATCAGCAGCATCATCAGCATCATCAGCATCATCAGTGTCATCATCAGTATCATCAGCAGCATCATGATCATGATCAGCAGCAGCAGCATCAGCAACAGCATCATCATCACCACCACCATCAGCAGCATCATCAGCAGCATCATCAACATCATCATCATCAGCAGAATCAGAATCACCATCATCAAAGCATCAGCATCAGCACCACCATCATTAGCAGCAGCATCCGTATCATCATCAGCAGCAGCATCATCATGATCAGCAGCATCATCATCAGCAACAGCATCATCACCATCATCATCAGAATCACTACCAGCAGCATCGTCATCATGAACATCATCATTATCACCACCATCATCAGCAGCAACAGCATCAGCATCTTCATCCCCATCATGATTATAATCAGCATATCAGCATCATCCTGACCACCGCCACCGTCACCGCCACCACCAGCACCATCATCCACATCCTCATCCTCATCCACATCCTCCTCATCCTCGTCCTCGTCCTCGTCCTCATCCTCTCCATTATTCTCCTCTTCCTTCGCCTTCTCCTCCTACTCCTCCTACTCTTCGTCCTCCTCCTCCTCATCCTCCTTCTCCTCCCACTCATCCTCAGGAATCTGAGCTTTCCTGGCACCTTTGGGGGCCACTCTGGACTCGACCGTTCGGCCCGAATGGGCTGTGCGCTCGCACGGCAGCAAGGGCTTGACCATTCCTTCGTGGACAGCCAATCCGATCCGATCCCACTCCTCCTCTCTCCCTTCCTCACCAAAGTGTTCCCACATGGGTTTCCACGACAGCTTGGGGAGCACATAGTCCAATAACTTGGCAAGTTTGCAGCCCAACGTTTGGCCACATAGGCGCTCCCAAAAGGCATGGGGCGGCGGTGGTTCGCCGTAGGAGTCTTCGATAATGTGGAACAAGGGTGCCGCGTTTCCGACGCATTGATGGTCAAGTTGTGAAAGCTCGAGTCTCTCGCCAGATCTCTAAGGACACGTCTGAACAAAAGATGAACACGTTTTATCAGAGCCGACAGCAGGCTGCGTGGGCGTCTCTCCACGCAGGCTGGAAAAGCACAGTCAGGCTCTCGTCGGCTCTCACATCTTGGCCACCGGCTTTTTCATCATGAGTGCCTGGCGTTGCGCTATGCACACGTTCTCCCCTTTCTGGTTGTACATCATGTGCCTTAAGGTGACGATCCCCTGCGTCGGCCTCGACGCCGACTCCCGCTTGTCGACGACTTCGGTCTCCACGCGCAGCGTGTCACCGGGAAACACCGGCCTGGGGAACTTCACCTCGGAGAAGCCCAGATTGGCCACGGTGGTCCCGTGCGTAGTCTCCAGCACGCTCATTCCAACGCCCAGGGCGAGCGTGAACATGGAGTTGAAGAGAGGCTTCCCGCCAAACTCGCCCTGCTTGCTGAGCTCGTGATCTAAATGAATGGGCGCCGGGTTCATACTCAAGCACGTGAACAGCACGTTATCCGCCTCCGTCACGGTCCGGGTCAGTGCCGCCACGATGACATCACCCACCTCCATCTCGTCGAAGTACTTGCCATGAAAGACGCGCTTAAAAGGAACCGCGGCGTCTGCCCTGGGCTTGCCCTCGGTGGGCACCCCTTCGGGCCCCAGCCTGGCCAGCAGCTTCCGAGCTCTGAGGAGGTGGGGCTTGTCCAGCATCCGGCCCTTGTAGAGGAGAGCGCCCCTGTTGCCCCCGCCCGAGGCCGCCTCCCTCTCTGCGTCCGCGAACAGCCCCACGACATTGGAGGAAGAAAAAACGGCAGAAACATGAACTTTCGGAGCTCCGAGCGGATTTCGGGGATCGGCGCTGGACTCCCCTCCCTGGCGCGCGCCAGGGGTGGCGCCGGAGACGCCGCCATGGGGGCCTAGCGCAAATTCAGGAAATCCGAGCGGAGCTCCGAAAGGCTAGGTTTCGGCGGTTGCTTCTTCTTCGAGATATCCTTGGCCTCCTGGATCTCGGTCGCCGAGGGAGCGAACCCCGCGTGGATGGCCTGGACCTGCGCGGGGTGCAAAGACAGCTTGCCGTCCCAGCCCGACGCCGCGGCCCCGGCAGCTTCGGACTCGCAGCCGGGGAGGTCGCGCACGTCGGCGAACACGCCGTCTATGGCCTGGATGTTGGCCGCCTTGGCGGCCAGAAGGCACAGCTGCCTCACGTACTGGAAGACCTCCAGGTAGGGCCCCGGCTTTTTGGAGTCTGCGCCTCCACTCTCCCTGTTCCGGCTGGCTCCGATCTCTGCCGACAAGTCCTCTGCGCCCCAGGTGATGGCAACGACCCGACCTGGACACGCCTTCGCGATCGCGGCAAGATTGAGCACGCCCTCCGCGGTCTCGGTGGCGATAGGAAGGAGGACGTTCTTCCGCCCCGCACTCCGCCCCACGCTCGCCTCCACCTCGTCCAGCTTGGCAGCGATCTTCTCGACGTCGGCCGCCGAGTTGATCTTGGGGAGCATGAAGCCGTCCGAGTACTTGGCGCAGGCAGCGAGGTCCTTGCCCCAGAGCTCACCGCCGTCGGCGTCGAGGGGGTTGATCCGGACCAGGATCTCTGGGCCCTCCGCCCCCGCAGAGCCACCCCCTCTCGCTCGGGGGCTGCCAGAGGCTCTCCTGGCCCCAGGTGCCCCCGGCGTTTCCAGGGGAGCGAAGAGAATGACACAAACATAAAAGCTCGGAGGTCCGCGCGGATTTCTTGGACCCGCGCTGGACCCCCCTGGCAGCGCGTCCAGCGCCGCCCCTGGCGCGCTCCGCGCGCCAGGGGAGGAGGGTGAAGCGCTGATCCGGGAAATCCGCGCGGACCTCCGAGTTTTTATGTTTGTGTCATTGTGTGTTTCCCTACCCCAGCTTTTCGCTCCATTTTGGAGCCTCTGGGGCCCTCTGGGCCACGTGAGGGGTGCTCTGGAGGGAAGTGGTGGGGGCCTCCTCGGAAATCAAGGGGACACGCCTTGGGCCAGGGACGCTTCTGGCGAACACCCGACTGGTCTTCTCCAGCCACTCGCTGACCTTCCTGCGGCCGGCCTCCTTGTCGAGGACCGAATCCTCGAGGTCGAGGACGAGCGTGTCTGCCCCGAGCCCGAGGCACTTGTCGAGGAACTTGTCCTGGCCCCCTGGGACGAAGTGCACGGAGCGCCGAAGCCGCGCCATTGGTAGGGGAACGAACCATGACATAAACATAAAAACTCGGAGGTCCGCGCGGATTTCTCGGATACGCGCTGGGGCCCCCGGGCGGCGCCTCCGGCGCCGCCCCTGGCGCGCTCCGCGCGCCAGGGGAGGGGGGTCCAGCGCCGATCGGAGAAATCCGCGCGGACCTCCGAGCTTGTCTGCTTGATGTCACTCTTCGTTCCCCTCATTGGGGCAGCAGCAGCGGAGAAGGATCTCAGGGCGCCAGGCGCCGGCGATCCTCGGACGAGGGGCGGACGACGCGGGCCCGGGGCGCGGAGCCGGAGAGGCCCCTGCGCGAGGCGTCGGATCATGGCATGCGGCCGCGCGCTGGGTCCCGCAGGCTGACGGGTCGGGAGCAGGTCGAGGTGAAGTCTGCGGCGTGGCACGGCGCGGCGGGTCGGCAGCCCACCACTGTCGACCCGGTGTGCTTCGGACGCGACGCACGCGATCATGAGTTCAAGCCGTCAGGGTCGCGGCTCTTGCGACGAAGACGGTTCGCGATTCTCTCGGCACCCTCGAGCGGAGACACAGAGACACACCCATTCTGACAAGCTTGCCTTCGCAGTCTACCCGCGCACGAGAACAGCGTGCGAACAAATAACTGGAGCAGGAAAGACAACGCCCTCCGATGCCTCGAGGCGCCACCTACCGCGGAACCCAGACCCCCGCCGCCGTGATTTTGTCACAACGTCGACCCCCAGAGGTCTGGCACCCTTCCCCGGGACCGCTTTTTCTTTGGAGTCCCGAAACGGTGCGGTGACGCACCGTGCGGTGACCTCGAAATCCCCCAGGACCTCACCGCACGGTGCGTCACCGCACGGTCTTGGGACCCTGGAGGCCCCTGTCGCCCGAGACATCCTCGGAGAGGGCCTCGAGTCCCAAAACCGTGCGGTGACCCCGAATCCCCACCGACTCACCGCACGGTGTGGTCACCACACCGTTTGGGGGCCCCCGATTTTCATCCTGAGCAGTTTTCTGAAGGTCCCGGAACCCAGTGTGGGCCTGAAGACCGCTCGCCGCGAGGTCTTCACAGCGCGAGGGGGTCTGGGTACGAGACCCCCGCCGGGGCGGCGCAGCTTTCCCGCGCGAGGTTCCCGCCCGCACGCGCGGAGTCCGGTGGCGCAGCGAGGCGCCAACTCACCCCAGACCCCCGACGTCGTGACTTTTTGAAACGTCGATACGCAGAGGTCTGGACCCCTTCCCCGGGACTGCCTTTTCATCCTGAATCGTGTCTTGACGGTCCCGAGGCCCGGCGAGGGCCCCCGGAGGCCGACAATGGCGAAAAACCTCCCGTCGCGATGTTTGTTCACAACACGAGGCGGTCTCTCAAAGACCCCCTCGCGTCCGACCCCCACACTCACCCTCCAACTCTGGGACTCGAGCAGCGAGGCCCCCCCGCGGGTCGCAGGCGCCAGGCCCCCCGCCCGAGGCGGCGCGGCCGCGCGAGGCCCCCGCCTTGGAGGCCACCGCCCGGGATGCGACAAGCGCCCCGTCGCGCAGCCAGGGGCCACCCCCGACGCGGAGCGGAGCCCCCCCCAGTCCAAGGTCAGGGGGGGGGAGCAGGAGCACCCACACAGCGGGAGGAGGAGGAGGAGCAAATAAATGGGCACAAATCCCAGGATCCCCCATGTTCCCCACATTTTCGGGGTTTGGGTCTCCCCTCCCCCTTCCCACAGTCTCCCCTGTATCTTTTCCTGGGAGTCGACGGAGCCGACGATGACTTGTGTCTGTGTGTTTTCCCCTCCTGGCAATCGTGGCGCGAGACTCCCGCCGACGCTCTGCGAAGTGAGACCCCGGACGACGCCACGCCTGCAGCCTCCCCGCTGTGAAGGGGGGCCGCGCGGGGGCGGAAGCGAGGCGGGAAGATTCGCCCTCGGGCGCAGGGCGAGGCGGAGGCCAGTGGCCTGGAGACACGGGCAGCGCGAGCGCGCATTCGAGCAGAGCCCACCCCTTGCGGTCTTGACGAGGGTGTGGGGTGCGTGCGCGCGTTCTCCTGTTGGTCCCCCCCCCTCCACCTTCTCCCCTCCTCCTCTTTCCATCCCTCTCATCGTCTCATCCTCCTGCTCTTGTTCTACGCTGGGCAAGCGCTGGCTTGCTAGAGCCGTCGCGTTTTGGTGGCAGCGGTCCGAGAAAAAACTGTTCGGAGCGTAAGAGTTCGATCAAATCAAGGTCAGGCCCTGATACTGCAGCAGCGCGCGTCGGTGATAACCGAGATAGGCAAGACTAGAACCACGCGCGCTTAGGTTCTAGCAAGTTGCGGCTGTGTCACACAGTGTGCAACATCGGAGACAATTGCGAACCAGAGGCGCGTCATGAACAACACACCGTTCGGACACTCAGCGAAATTTGTCCCCCCTGTTCCCCCCCACGTGCGCAACGCGGTACACCCAAATCGCCGTTGATCCTGCACTATCCGACCCTTACAGTCTTACATTCCCTCTCCACCCCTTTTTCCTCCTCCCGTTCCTTCTCTTCTTTCCCTTCCTTCGATCCACCATCCCTCCCGCCGTGCCTCCGAAGCCCTCCTTCCCGCGCTGCCGCTTACGGGACATTCCGCCACCACGGTCTTGGGGCCGTCTCGTGGGCCTCGGAGGGAGCTTGTCGAATGCCTGTTACGGTCTTTGGACTCTGCTTGGCGCGGTAATCCCTGGTCTCTGCGGCGCGGCTCACGCGGCCCTGGAGCGGTCTCTTCGGCCCATGTTGGTCGTTCCAAGGGCAAGAAGGTGTTGTTAAGCAGAAGCGATGCCGTCCGCAGGCTGGGCTCACCTGCGAACCGGAACAGCCTGACACGCCCGCGCGCGAGTGGCATGCCGAGTGACTTGCTGAAGACTCCCCGCTGCTGAACAAGGAGAGTATGGAAGGTAGGACGAGACGAGGCTCAGCAGTATATCCAGTGTGAACGTTTTGGTATCCAGCGTTTCGACGAGCGGAAGGGTGGGGAAGGGGGGGGGCTCCGGACCCCGCTGAGTGCGACTGTTTGGAACACTGCTCCCATGTGGAATCCTGTTGGAAGCCGCCCACCTGCTTGAAACAGGAGCCCAAAACAGCCAAGATCTGCTCCATCGGGGGGGGGAGGGGTGCAAAGGCCCGCGCCGATCGGCAAAACAATGCATAAGAAAATGCTCACAGAATTAGTCTGGCACAATTTGCACAGGCTGGCCTGTTTAGCACAAATGTGTGCCGCAACTGTCTTAGCGAATCGATACTGAACTGGTACACGACTGCTTATGTGCAGGCAGGGTGGCGTAGCAAACTCAAAAGTCAGGTGATATCCTGCCCGTGGCAGGGGGGAACCCTTGTCTCCGGGCTGGCGGCGGTAACCCATCGACAGCCGAATCGGGCGCAGGGGGAAACCCTTGTCTCCGGGCTGGAGGAGGTAACCCTTCGTCAGCAATCGGGCGCAGGAGGAAACCCTTGTCTCCGGGCTGGCGGTGGTAACCCATCGTCAGCCGAATCGGGCGCACGGGGGAACTTTTGCGTCTGGCCGTCACTGGCTGCCCCGTCGTCGCTGTCAAATCGTCACCAGCATCGCTATTACTATCATCGTGTCCACCGTTGTCGACGTTGCCATGATACCGCGCCCGCCCAAGCCGCCAACTCGCACTGAAAGCCCGCTGGGATGTGCCGAGCGGTCAGCGCCACCGCGTTCGAGTCGGTCGCGCCAAACTAGCTGGCCGCTGCGCGCGCGAGCATGCGCGGGCTAGCGCGGCCGCAGAGATGCACCAGCCAACACCCAGATCTCATCGCAATCGCTTCCGCATGGGGTTTGCAAACCAAGTTGCGGGTGGGTGGGCGGGTGGGATGTTTGCGCGAGCAGTGGAGTGGACAACTTCAAGATTGGGCATTGGTGGTAAAAAAGAAACTAGACTATACCACTACCAAACCCCCCAGGATTATCCGCCACGCGCTGCGATTGGAAAATCATGTATGATCGTGACCCTTCGTTCATTTTACATCTGAACTCATACCATCCCAGGCCAGCCCGCATCGACCACTCCCCCGCCATCCTCTGCAACAGAAATGCTATGCGTGCGCACTCTTTTGTTTAATCCGATGTTTCAAGAAAACCTCGCGAAAACTAAGACGAAGTGTACACGCGCGCGTCGTCGCGCGCGCATGCCGAAACCCTTCAAAACCTTAGGTTTCGGACGGGTTTCCAAATCGAGCGTCGACAAAAACATGTCAACTAGACCTATACGACCACCCTGCGGGTAATAAGGAGGTTTGGGGGGGGCTAGCAATGGGCAACAATGGTGACTGTTGTTCTGACGATGCTTGTGGTGCGCTGTCTAGTGAGTAGTGTGTGACTGTGACCGCGAGCGTGATGTGATGTGGCGATGTTGACGATTGCATATCGATGCGCATGTCGATGTGCATCGATGCGCATGCCGTCTGTGATGGGATTTGCATATCGGTGTGTTTGTCGATGTATTGTTTCGATCTGCATCTCGATTTGCATGTCAACATATCGATGTGCATGTCGATTTGCTTGTCGATCTGCATCTCGCTTCCCATGTCGACTTGCATGGGAAAGCTCGCCGCAGGCGCCGATTCATTAAATACGCAATTGGATGTGCATGTCGATTTGCACTTCAATGTGCTTTTCGGTTTGCATGTCGGCTTGCATGTAGACTTGCATTGGATAGCTCGCCGCAGCCACGGCGGTACACCAGCGGGACACCGGCGGGACACCGCGGGCCACCGGCCGCCTGAGGAGAAACATTTGGTCCGGCCGCGGCCCAGCCACAGGAGGATTTCGGGACACCAGCGGGACACCGGCGGGACACCGCGGGCCACCAGCCGCCGGAGGAGAAACATTTGGTCCGGCCGCGGCCCAGCCACAGGAAGATTTCCTCTCGCCCGCCCACGCAGCTTCGCTTCGCCCGCACGCACGCACGGCACGCACGACACGAACCCGAAACCGAAATCGAAATCGACTTCCAGGTAGGGGGGGTCTCCGTTTCATGTCGGACTCACCTCCCAACCTCCGCTAATGCAAATACACACACATACATACAGACATATATATATATATATATACATACATACATACATACATACATACATACATACATACATACATATATGTATGTGTATATATATACACACATGTATATAATATGCGTATAAATGTACATAGAAATAATATATAAGGGAACATGTGCGCGCGCCCCTGCGAATCCTGGAACAGACATGGGTCTACAACATTTACAAACAATGCTGCCGAATGGGTTTCGCGCGCGCACGTCGAAATCGCGCGAACGCCCTTGCGCGCGTGCCGTCGCCAGAATATTTTGCAAAAAACGGGACGGAGTGCACGCGCGCGCATCGTCGCGCGCGCATGCCAACATTTTTCATCAAATCGAAACGGTTTCGACAGCATTTCAAAACCGAATATCCACAAAACATATTTTCTTGTCTTGAATAGAATATCACAACACGGAATTTCAACAAAAGCGCGCGCGCTCTGGCGATTTGAAAATATTAAAAAATGGGACCAAAAGGGCTGCGCGCGCGCAAGTCGAAATCGTTCGAACGCCCTTGCGCGCGTGCTGGGGTGGCACGATCCGTGTCACATAATACCATGCGATCCACTCTCGCGCGTCTGCCGCGCGCGCATTTCGAATTCCTTTTTTCCACAACCTTCATCGCCGACGCGAAGACGCCGTCACCGTTGTCGGCGTGATCAGCATCGGCGCCGTCACTGGCTGCCCCGTCGTCGCTGCCAGCATCGTCACCAGCATCGTTACTATCATCATCGTGTCTACCGTTGTCGACGTTGCCATGATACCGCACCCGTCCAGGCCGCCGACTCGCACTGAGGCGCCCGCTGGGGTGTGCCGAGCGGTCAACGCCACCGCGTTCGCGTCGGCCGCGCCAAACTAGCTGGCCGCTGCGCGCGCGACGGGCTAGCGTGGCCGCAGCGATGCACCAGCAAACACCCAGCAGTCATCGCAATCGCCCCCGCATGGGGTTTGCAAACCAAGTTGCGGGCGGGTGGGTGGGATGATCGCGCGAGCAGTGGAGTGGACAGCTTTAAGTTGGGCGTTGGTGAGTTCTCACATCGTTTGCCAAAAAATTACGCGCGCGTACTCGTCTATTAAAACCACAAGGTTTGCCAAACACAGGACGAAGTGCACACGCGCGCCTCGTCGCGCGCGCATGCCGAAATCCTGCAAAAACGCTCGGTGCCGGAAAGATTTCAAAATCGAGTGCCCGAAAACATGTAAACAACCCGGGGTTTCGCAACGCGGGTCTTCCACCCCAAAAAAAAAACACCCCTGCGAAGTCTCGAGAACCCAAACGGGTTTTCAAGCTTCAGAAAATGCGACCAAACGGGCTGCGCGCGCGCAAGACGAAATCGTTCGAACGCCCTTGCGCGCGTGCTGGGGTGGCACGATCGGTGCCACATAATACCATGCGAGCCACTCTCGCGCGTCTGCCGCGCGCGCATTTCGAACTCCTTTCCACAACCTTCATCACCGACGCGAAGACGCCGTCACCGTCGTCGGCGTGATCAGCATCGGCGCCGTCACTGGCTGCCCCGTCGTCGCTGCCAGCATCGCCACCAGCATCGTTACTATCATCATCGTGTCTACCGTTGTCGACGTTGCCATGATACCGCGCCCGCCCAGGCCGCCACCTCGCACTGAAAGCCCGCTGGGGTGTGCCGAGCGGTCAGCGCCACCGCGTTCGGGTCGGTCGCGCCAAACTAGCTGGCCGCTGCGCGCGCAAGCATGCGCGGGCTAGCGCGGCCGCAGAGATGCACCAGCCAACACCCAGCACTCATCGCAATCGCTCCCGCATGGATTTGGCAAACCAAGTTGCGAGCGGGTGGGTGGGATGATCGCGCGAGCAGTGGAGTTGACATCTTCAAGTTCGGCAAGTGAATTGCACCACATAATTGTACGACATAGCCTACATCACATAGGTTGCACCACATAGACGTAAAGAACCTGCTGCTTGGGGTCAACGTTGGTTCACACCTTGTCATATCACCCTGGGGATCGGCGATTACTTGTGTCTGTGTGTTTTCCCCCTCCTAAATCATGGCCGCAAGCATGTGCGCGTACGGGGGGGGCAGGGGAAGGAAGCGCATTGAAACGAGAAAAGGCGTCATGAGATCTGGGGAGATCGCATGGCCCTGGCCATGATATCCCTCCTCCTCCTCCTTTTCCTCCTCCTCCTCCCCCGCTTCCTCATCCTCCTCCTCCTCATCTTCCTCCTCCTCCTCCTCCTCCCCCTCCTCCTCCTCCTCCTCCGCATACCCCCCCCCCAGTAAACGCGTAGAACATGGATGCACGATGAGGATGCAAGGGCCTCAGAGGGCCATGTCGACACCTTTCGAGCGCGGCGCGGCCAGCAAGTGGCCCAGGATGAGCCGAAGGCGAGGGTTTTCTTATTCGGCGTTTCGACAGTGGGCGGAAGGGGGAGAGGGGGGGGGTCTGGCTCCGGACCTCTGCGTAATGCGAGTGTTTGCAGCAGTGCGTCCCATGGGGGAGACTTCACCTGATTGAATCAGGCGCCAAAAACAGCCAGAATCTACTCCATGGGGGTGGGGTGCGAGGGCCCGCACCGATCGGCAGAACAGAAAACAAGAAAACGATCACAGGGGGAAGGGTGCAAGGGTAACCTTTGGAACGTCGCTCGTCCTCACCATGCTTAGGTCGGGCGTGTCCTCCTACCAGCGGATTGTAAACGAAAAATAAGAATAGTCAAAAATAATCAACAAATATTCAGAAATACTCCACTCATGAAATCGTCCCCAGACTACTGTTTACAGGTCCGAGTTAACACTATGCACTTCGACTGCAGGAAATCACCCAACTCTTGGCCGCCCCCGAGACCCCAGGTTAGCCGAGTCGGGCGCACGGCCGGACCGCTGCAGGCCCGAAAGGGCCCGAGAAGGCACACGTGCGCGCGGCGCGCGAGCAAGACGAGACGGCGCGCCAGGGAGGGGGGTCCAGCGCCGATCCGAAGAATCCGCTCGGAGCTCGGAATATCTAAGTACGATCGGAGCTCGGCATGTGTAGGTTTATGCCACTCTTCCCAGACAGGAGGAGGGCGAGGAGGAGCGGGCGCCTGTCGCTCCACGCGCGACAGCGCCAGCACCATGGCATGCCCACCGCGCGAATGCGCGCCGTGGGAGGTGGGAGGGGGGAGGCTCGGGGAGGGCGAGGAGGGAGACGGGCGGGGGGGGAGGGAGAGAGGAGGGAGGGAAAGGGGAGGGAAAGGAGGGACAAACAAGGGGAGATGGGGGAGGAAAGGGGAAGGAAGGAGGACGGAGAGAAAGGAGGAGGAGGAGGAGGAGGAGGAGGAGGAGGAGGGGAAGGAGGACTAGGCGGAGGCGGATCTGACACGTGATGAAGGCACTCTAGACAAGAACGGTAATGAATATGCCGACATTGCGGCGAAGAGGGGTTTGGCCATGCACGCGTTGCCGTCGGAGGTCACACAACTTCACGCTGAACCGATGCACATCACGTTGCAGGTGGCCTGTTGGACAAGGTCGTCAATTACCCTCGCGGAGCATCAAGATCGACAGCCCCCCGCCAGCACGACGACCTCGACAGAAGCTAGTTGCACCACGGGCACCACGATTGCGAGCAGCACCGCGTGAATTACATCCTACTGAATTGGCGCGTGGCCAACGCTCCCATGGCATCCGCCCTGGCATGATAGGCGGCTGGACATGCAAAGATTGTCCGCGCTTCGCGCGAACCCACGCTGGGCGTAGGAAGAAGATGAAAGCCGAAATATACGTGGTCCGCCACCCCTCGGAACCCCAGGCCCCCAAGGCCTAATGTAGACCCTTGGGGCCCTGAAGCCCCAGGATGGCCCTCGGGCCCCCGCGCTGGAGCCCCGCTTGGGACCCTCCCCGACCCACGAGAGGAGTTTGGATCGCCCCACGGGCCTGGAGGAGGAGGACGAGGGCGCTCCCAGGCGGAAGGATTTTCGCGGTGGGCATTTCTCGTCCTCGTCGAAGCCTCCTCCTCCGCGTGCTGCTGCTGACGCGTCCCCAGTTCCTCCCCCTGCCTCCCCCTCGGCTCTTGGTCTCCGGGTCTCGGGCAAGGGCAGCAGGCCTGAGGATGTGGGCGCGGCGCCATCTATCCGCTCCGACCATCGCCAGAATCGAGTTCGAGCCTTTTCCTGTCCACTGGGGCTAGGCGCGTCGCGGCCGATTGTCCCCCGCTGGAGAATGATTTTTTCTTCCAGGCTTCACAAGTCTGCGGGCGAACTGCCGCCGACCCACTCTTCAGGAGGGCCGCGCGGCGCAATTCCTTCGCGCCCGTGGGCGGGGAGGGCGGCGAGGGGGCGGGGAGGCAGAGGGGGAGGAGGAACACGAAGCGCAACGAGCGGGCAGGGGCGGCCTGCCCCGAAAGGGGGGAAAGGGCAGGAGGAGGACAAGGGGGACTGGCGGCGGTCGTCGTCGTCGTCATCGTCGGGGGCCCCTCTGGCGCCCGCGCTGGTCGCCGGCGCCGCAGTTGCGGTCGTCGAGGAGGCGCGTCGCCATGCCGCGAGGCCGGGCGCAAACGTCGCCGCCGACGCGGCCCTGCCCGCCGCTGCTGTTGCAATCGTTGCCGCGGCGAAGGCTGTCGGCCTGGGTGGCGCCGCGGTGGCGGGTGGTGGTGGTCGTCGCGGCGGGAGCCGTGGGCCTCACTGGCCTATGGCGCCAATCACCATCTCTGCGCTTCCGCGTTGGATCTGTCGGGGTAGCTGGCGCCACGCCCTGCCGAGCACCTCGCCCCAGGCCGCTTCCTCGACGCTGCGGCCAGAAGTCCGGATAAACTCTGCAGTCTCGTCGACCGGGCGGCCACATGTCTCGGAAACCACAAGGGCGAAGTCACCCCTGTCGGGGGGGTGCCGGGCCCGCTTCACCTGGGCCACGCCTGCCGCGGCCACGCCGTCGACGCTCGGTCGCCTGCGAGGGGCGCATAGACGGGCGCGCCAGAGACAAGATCCGCGGTGGCGACGTCCAGCTCGGCAGCCCCGAGCACGCCTGTGCGCTTGCTCCGCGGCCGCAGCGAAGCCAGCGAGGACGGCGCGCAAATGCGCGCGCAAGTCCCGCGCGCGGTCATAGCGGGCGGAGAGGCCGCACACACACACACACACACACACACACACACACACACACACACACACACACACACACGCACACACACACACACACACACACACACACTCCGCACCACCTCGCCCGCCACCCGAAGCCACCCAGCGGCGCGCCGCGGACCACGGCGGCGCGCGGCGCCCAGCGGGCAGACGCAGCATCGCTGGCGAAGCTTCACGGCGGCGAAGAAATTGCAGTCGGGCATGACCGGGTCGCCCTGGCCCCACCAGTGCCGCGAAGCGCCAAGCGGTCGCCCTCCTCGAGCGCGCAGTAGCTCAACCCTGGCGGCCGCGGAGCGCGCCTCCACCCACCTGCCTGCAGCTCGGGGGCGGGTTCTTCGAAGCAGCCCAACTAATCGAATTCGCCGCTCATTGCCCCCGCGGGCACGGAGGTCGGCGCCAGATTCCGCGCGGGCCTGGCGAGTCAGGGGGCACCGCGCTCGGAGGCCACCCCAGTCCTGGAAGCCAGCGGCCTGCGCGACCGCCTTCAGGGCGAGGGCACAGCTCGCCAAGCACGCTGATGACGAGGCGGGCCGAGCCGAAGGCGGGCAAGGTTATCCCGCTGTCCTCGAGGCGCGGGGCGGCCTGCGCGCGCCGCCCGGGGCCCGGGGGGGCCCTGGGGAACTTTCTCCCTTACGCTGCCCAGGAAAAACACGTTGCCTCGGCCGAGAACTCCGCCGCTCGCAACACCAAGAACTACCCCGCAAACGCGGCGGCTTCGGCCACCGCAAAGACGCCGTCAGTCCTGCGCGGACACGGGCCCGCTCGCCCGCCCGGCCCAACCACGGCGCCGCGCTGCCGAGACACTTCAGAGTGGAAGCGGGAAACTCACACGGTTACTTTGAAGGAGCTATATGCTAAAGGAAACGAGCCTTTTTAGCAGAGTGCTGTTGCTCTGTTGAGCGGCAGCCGCGTCGGCGCGTCCGAATAACCGAGCCGCGCCCTGCGCTCGCGCCCTGAATCCCCCGTTTAAAAAATTATCCCGGCAAAGCAACCTAACAGCGATGTGTACAAGCATATCTGAAAGCATTCCCCTTAAGATTCAAATGAAAATCCAATTGTGGAATTCTGCTGTTCTCGCAGTCGTAGTCGAATTCGCGATGACAGTCGCAGCGGCAACGGCAGTCGCAGTCACAGCCTCAGCCTCAGCCTGCCTCAGCTTCAGCCTCAGCCTGCCTCAGCCTCAGCCTGCCTCAGCCTCAGCCTCAGCCTGCTTCAGCCTCAGGCCCAGTTTGCCTTCAGCCTCGGCCTCAGCCTCAGCCTGCCTCAGCCTCAGCCTGCATCAGCTTCAGCCTCAGCCTCAGCCTCAGCCTGCCTCAGCATCAGCCTGTTTCAGCCTCTGCCTCAGCCTGCCTCAGCCTCAGCCTCAGTCTGCTTCAGCCTCAGCCTCAGTCTACCTTCAGCCTCGGCCTCAGCCTCAGCCTGCCTCAGCCTCAGCCTGCCTCGGCCGCAGCATCAGCCTGCCTCAGCATTCAAAATGTGGCCCAGGAAAAGAGTTCTGGGAACTAGAAGATCACGAAGTGGCCTACAGTTGGCTCCGGGCATTCAAAATCATGCCCAGGAATGAAATTCTGGGAACTTGAAGAACACGAAGTGGCCTACAGTTGGCTCCGGGCATCCAAAATGTGGCCCGGGAATGGAGTTCTGGGAAATCGAACAGCACGAAATGGCCTACAGTTGGCTCCGGGCATCCAAAATGTGGCCCGGGAATGGAGTTCCGGGAAGTCGAAGAGCACGAAGTGGCCTACAATTGGCTCCGGGTATCCAAAATGTGGCCCGGGAATGGAGTTCTGGGAGCACCAAGAGCGATTCTGCGAGGATGTCCCAAGCGATTTCGGCTTCGGCGGCAGCCTGTCCGGGTCCCGCCCAGACCCCCCTGAGGAGTCATGATGCTCTCTTTTGAGACCACTAGAAACCTATCAGCAAGAGCTGTTAGGGTTTTTTATAATATATATATATATATATATATATATATATATATATATATATATATGTATTATATATATATATATATATATAAATCTACAATTCGATGAAAACATGCCCGAAGATCGCCGCGACCCGATGCAACGCGACCCTGACTACTCGAGCATGCGCATCGCGGGGTGGACCGGCAAGGAAGACAGAGGCCCCCCGCCCCCCGACCGGGCCCTGGCCCCGCACCTCCAGGGCTTTACCAAGGCAGGCCGCGGTCTTTACTAAAGCGAAAAAGCGGCTTTACTAAAGCGAGGAAACGGCTGCACTAAAGCGAGACAACGGCTTTAGCGAGGGCGCGCCGCTCACCCGAAACAACGACGTTTTACTACAGCGAAGAGAAAGTTCTAGTAAAGCGGAGAGACGGCCGGGCATAACTGCACGCAGAAATTTCGCCCCCCCCCCATTAAATCTAGCGCGGGATTCCAGGAACGAGGGCGGGGCGCCAGATCGCCCGGGGGCCGGGGCGCCGCCGCCGCCGTCGCCGCGCCGTTCGTCGTCGCCGCCGTCGCCACTGTCGCCGTCTCCATCGCCGCCGACGCCGGCGCCGTCGTCGCCGCCGTCGCCGGCCCCCACGTCGCCGCGACGCCCGCGCATTCACGTTATTACCAGCGGCGTGTCGCGCGCGGCCGCACGCGCCATTGCGCTCGCATTTCCGCTCCTCCGACGGGGGCCCAGGCGGACATCGCGCTTCGTCTTCCACCCACGACTTTTAAAAATAAGAATGAGATAGTTACGCCTCTGATTTCAGGCGCGGCACGCGGCGGTTCGCCAGCGCACGGGCGGTCTAAGCTGGAGTCTCTGGTCCACGCTTGCGTCTTCTTCAAGTTGGCACGAAGCCCCTGCTGGGAAAGCGCCTCGGCGACACGCCAGTTCGCCACCGCCGCGGGTTCAGGCGGGGCGAAGATCTGCACGTCGCCCAAGCGCTGGAGATCTTTCCCGCGGGCGAGAGTCTGTGCACCGCGGTATGGATCTCGCCCAGGGAGGCGATAGCGATGGCGAACAGCCCTGGGGGCACGGGGCAGCCTTGGTCGACCCCGCTAGTCGACCGCACTGCAACGGCTTCGTCGTTGTCGTTCCAGAACCAGCGCGTCGTGATCCTGCCCGGCCAGGCTGTCACCATCGGGCCGAGGTCTGGGGCGCGCGCGGCCACGCGATTCAGCTGCAGAGGGATCGCGTCGAAAGCGTTCGTGGCGTCGGATGCCAGGATCACCAGGTTTGCCTCCGCCAGGCTAGCGAGGGTTTCGTGGGCCGACTCGCAGCCAGCCAGCCAGCCCACGGCGCACTGGAACCGCTCGCAACCAGCCTGGATCCCGTCCGCAAAAACCACGCAGGCCGCTCGCCCGCCAAGCGCCGCATGACCCCGCCGCAAGCGATTGGGCGATGCCGCCGCTTCGTTCGCGAAAACCACGGGCCGTTCTCCGAGGTTAGCTTCCGTTGCTCCTGTGCTGGACTTCCCCTAGAGAATGAGGACGACGACCTCGGCGGAAGCCTCGAGCGCAGGCGCGTCGCAGAACAGCGCGCACCAATTTTCACATCGAGAGACGTGGGGCCCAGGGCCGGATCGCCGGGGCGCGCTGCGGACGTGCCCTACGACCGCGGCCAGCAGATCCTGTAAGGGGCCACGTCGAGAGGCTACTGCGCTGGCCCGTTCCACGCTGCGGGGGCCCGCGGGAAAGAGCGCCTGCAGGGTGGCGTGGACGCCGCCCCTTTGCGCTAGCGTTGCCGGGCGAATGCTGACGGCCATGGCGTTGCTGACCAAACCCTCCTTCGCCAGCGTGTCTGTTTGCTCGGCAACGCGTTCGGGCGTGGGTCGCCCGCCGTTCCACCTAGGCGGGCGCGCGCCCTGGGCGTGGGCACTACGCCATTGGGCAGCCCAGTCCCCCCAGTCAGCCAGCTGGAGACGGCTGACCAGCGTCTTGCTAAGACGCCGCCCTTCGCGGTGTTTCTGGTTCCGGTGGAGCATCACGCGGTCGAAATAGGTGAAGAGCTTCTCGGCGGGGTGCAGCGCGACGGCGTCCCCAGCGGTGTAGGCGTTGAGCAGTCTCTGCGGCTCGGCCACGCAGCGCCGCCAAGGCCCCAGTCAGTTCGCCAAGCATGTTCACCACCGTGGGCACGCCCTTGGCAAGGCTCTCGTACAAAACGGAATCCCACCAAGCCAAATTAGGCACATCTGACTGGGGCCTTTCTGCCGCGACTTCCTTTGACGTTTCAAGAGAATCTCCTGGGTCACCGTCGTCTGCTCGCTGCAGGCGCGCCGCGGCTCCGTCCGAAGTCTCTGCTGCCGTGCCCTCTTCGCGCTGTGGCCGTCTTGAGCAAACTGCGGGCGGGCTTGTCGCAGAGATCGCGAACAATGTCTTTCTGGACATCAGGAATTAACATGATCAGTGCCCGCGACGCTGCCGTACAGCCCGAGGCCGCCCTCTACGCACTCCGAGCGATAGTAAAGTTTGTGCGCGAGGTTAGTACTGAAGGCCCGAGGTCTCCCCGTCGTATCGGCCCTTCGCGCAACCCCGAATGGCAGCAGCAACCCCGACGGCTGGCAAGCACACCGGCGCCCCAGCTGGTCACCCTGCGTTCCCTGGCAGCTGTTCTCGGCTCCGAGGAGGAGGAGGAAGAGGAGGAGGAGGAGGAGGAGGAGGAGGGGGAGGAGGGGGAGGAGGGGAAGGAGAAAGAGGAGGAGAAGGAGGAGGAGGAAGAGAAGGAAGAGAAGGAGGAGGAGGAGGAGGAGGAGGAGGCTGAGAAAGGAGGAGGAGGAGGAGGGGGCTGATGTGTGGCGCTGAAGGCGGTACGGCATCAGGGAATGCTCGTCGCCACCACGCCGCCCCGACTGCGGCGGCCGCCCAGGCTGTCCCAGCGCCTGTGCCCCAGCTGGTGGGCCCCCGCCGCGGCCGCGCAGCCCCTGCCGAGCCTGCACCACCGCAGCCGGACGTGCACGCCGCGCGCGCACGCCCTGAGGGCGACGATCCCAAAAGGCCACGCGCCAGCTCCCCGGCATAGGACGGCCTGCGCGGCCATCCACGGCACGGGGCTGCCCTGAGATCGAGGCGCAGGAGCTGGGCCGTGGAGGCGCGCTCGGCCCGTGGGGGCCGCACCGGGCTGGCCAGGGCAGCGGGGGCCCAGGCGCCGGGCGGGCCGACGGCGAGCAGGAGCCCGCGGAGGGCGAGACTGCCCTGCAGGCTGGCGAGGACGAGAGCGATGTCCAGCCCAAGGTGACGAAACCCAGAAAATGTGGGAGACTGTGGGGTATCCTGTGACGTGTGTCGATTCATTTGTGTCCCAGGGCCCCTTCACGGTGGAACGCGCTTGTCCATTCACAGGCCCTCTCCGAGCGAAGCCCGCCCTCGCCTCCGAGATTGCTCTGCAGGTTGGCGTGGGCCCACCGAGGTCAGCCACGGGCCCCCCTCGCAGGCGCGGCGCAGGGCCTCCCGTCGCGCAGGGGAGAGCACCTCGAGCACTGCTGGCACGCGCCCCTGGGGGCCCTGCCTCGCGGGCGACCGCCCGGGGGCGCCTTTTGCACCACCTCCCGGGGCGCGTGCTGCCACGGGGGCCGCTGCTCCTGGGCGTGCTGCCGAAGGCCGTGCTGCTCGCTGCCGTGCGCGCGGCGCCCGTGGGAGCGAGGCCGGTGCTGCCGGTGGCCGAAGTGCGGCCCCGCGTCGGCGTGCCCCCACTCCTTCGTGCTGCCCCTCGTCGTGGTGCTGGCCCCGGACCTGCCGCCCGAAGGGAAAACAGCCGCTGCGCTGCCCATCGCGCTCGCGGGCGTGAGACTGACGCTGCTGGTATCCGCTGTGCCGCACAGCGTCGTTCTGTCCGACTCCATCGCGGTGCTTGTCGTGGTGGTACCGATCCCGGACGTGCTGGCCGAGAACGTGCTGCTCGCTGTACTTCCCGTCGCCCTCGTGGGCGTAAGGCTGGCTGGTGCTGCCTCCTTCTCCTCCTCCCCATGCCACTTGATGGAAGGGCGGGTGCAGGAGGAGAGCCAAGGCGCGGTCGAGAGAGAGGAGTGTGGCAGCGAGAAAGACAAGCACGCGCAACGGCGCCAAAGACTTCGAGCCACAAGTGCGGGAGGGTGCGTGCGGCGAGAAGGATAGGGAAGGGAAGGATAGGGAAGGGAAGGGAAGGGAAAGGAAGAGAAGAGAAGAGAAGAGAAGAGAAGAGAAGAGAAGAGAAGAGAAGAGAAGAGAAGAGAAGAGAAGAGAAGAGAAGAGAAGAGAAGAGAAGAGAAGAGAAGAGAAGAGAAGAGAAGAGAAGAGAAGAGAAGAGAAGAGAGAAGAGAGAGAGAAGAGAAGAGAAGAAGAGAGAAGAGAGAGAGAGAGAGTAAGAGAAGAGAAGAGAAGAGAAGAGAAGAGAAGAGAAGAGAAGAGAAGAGAAGAGAAGAGAAGAGAAGAGAGAGAGAAGAGAAGAGAAGAGACGAGAAGAGAAGAGAAGAGAAGAGAAGAGAAGAGAAGAGAAGAGAAGAGAAGAGAAGAGAAGAGAAGAGAAGAGAAGAGAAGAGACAAAGAAAAAAAGAGAAGAGAAGAGAAGAGACGAGACGAGAAGAGAAGAGAAGAGACGAGAGAAAGAGAAACAGACAGAGAAATAGACATAGAAAGAGGGGGAGCAGCCGGGGGAGGAGAACGGGCGCCACAGGGCGCCCCACCCACGGCCCCAAAGACAGGGCCCGCATGCCGCCGCCCCGCCCACGTCGGCACGCCGCCCACGCGCAGCGCGCCTCACACGGAGCTCCGGCGCTGGCCCCAGGCACGAGGACTCCCGTGCCGCCGCCCCGCTCGCACCGGCCACCCCCCCCCCCTCGCACGGAGCACGCCCCGCGTGGAGCTCCACGTGTGGCAGCAGTGGGCAAAGTCGCGCGCCGCCGCCCCGCCCACTTCGGCGCACCGCTTCACGCAGCGTGCCCCGCCAGGGTCTCCACCTTGCCGCCTCCGTGGGCGCGTTCGCGCCGGGGGCCTCTGCACGATTCGGCAGCCTCCCGCGCGGATCCCGCCCCAACAGAGATCGAATCGAATCGATCGGATCGACATGGACCCTGGCCCAGTGGACATGATACCCTTGGCGTCACGCAAATTCCTGGGCCCTCTGGGATCGCCCGAAGCACCCCGCAAAGTATGATGAGTTGCTCTGCTTTGCGTCGCGCGGCATCGATTCGCATCGCTTTGCATTGCTTTGCAGATCCGCACAGCATCGCTTTGCATCGCGTTGCTCTGCCTTGCGTTAAGTATATGTGCGCTGTACTCATAGACTTGCATGAGACCTGATTTGCACCACATGAATGTGATGTGCATTGCACTGGCGTGCGCTGAGTTGAACTGCTTGGCTCTGTGCTGATTTGTGCTGAATTGATGTACTTCGCACTGTACTATGTCGGACTCGTGCTGCTTAAGCGTGTGATACACTCCACGTTGTCGACAACAGTGCATGCATATTGATGTCAGCTTGCCGTCGGCTTGCCTCCAGCGGAGAGAAGAGCCATGATCGAGGTCCCGCCAGGCTCATGTCTTCCCCAATCCTCTGTTGGTGTTTGCTGGGTCCTCACTATCTCTCTGCTGTACCGCGCCGCTGTCTCCTCCCCTCCCCCTCCCGCCGATGCTGAGATGCCACTCCTGCCCGCTCATCTCCCTCCTGCCCCCCCCCCCCGTTCGCGCCCCCTCGCCCAACTTCGGTACTGTCTTCACGCGGCGCGGATCGTGCCCTGTAGGAAGCACCACCTATGGCCCTCGCGGGGGGATTCGCATGTCTCCACCCTCAATTCGGGACACACATCCCACATATCGCCCAACGTACAGCACTCGCATGGGGTCCTTCATCCATGTCGGCACAGCACTCACGCGGACCCTGCCCCGTCCGGAATTTCCACTTAATGCACCCACGAGGAAACCTCACGTGCGGTTTCCCGGTTTCCTGCCAAATCTGCACTCTCTCCCAAGGATAATATCCCAATGGGAGCCCTACCTCTGGCCCCAGCGGGGGAGCTCGCGTTCGGCCAACCGCCTATTTGGCACACCCCTCACACGAGCCCTGCCCCGTAGGGTGGAGGGCAAGAACACGATGACAATGACCAAGCCTGAGCGCAGAAACGGCGGTGCCGACCTTGGTCCTCACAGTGAATCCGTGGATCATCCTCCTCGCGAACCAGCAACAGCGGGCATGGGCCGTGACTGAGATCGGCGCCGACGAACTCCCACTGCATCTTGGTCATGGACGTCGCTTTCCTTCACTCGATGGGGAGCTCCACCAATGGCATCCAGTGATCGGCGGTGCGCCGAAGGGGGAAGCGAGAGGGGGCAAGGTCCTCTCAGGAGGCGGGGCTCCCCAGAAGTGAAGCCCTCCACAGAGCCTGCCGAGAAGCAGCCTGTGCCTTCGAAGGAGGCTCAGAAAGCTACTCGGCCTCCTCCTCCTCCTCCTCCTCCTCCTCCTCCTCCTCCCCCTCCTCCTCCCCCTCCTCCTCCTCCCCCTCCTCCATCCACCTCCTGTCTTCTTCCCGGGCCCGCCCAGGCCCCGCAGAATACCCCCCCTCTGCCTTTCGGAAACCACAAAAAGGTACCGATGCCGCTACTCCCCGGAGCTCTCCCGGGGTGCGCTCTGACCAGCATGTCGAGGCGAAGCCAGCGGTGGCGACGAGGGCCTCCGAGGAGGCCCCCCAAAACGGGAAAACGAGGCAAGGGCAGTCCTCCTCTGGTGAACCTTCCTTCCCCCCCCCCCCCCCCCCGGCGTGCGGCCGAAGAGAGGGGGGGGGGAGCTCGCAAACGCCCACGGCAGAGAGCCCGGCGGCGGGCCCGGAGGGCGGGGCGGCGGAGGAGAGAGAGCGGCCGGCGGTGGCGGCAGCGCGTTGGCGGCCGCGCGCTCCATCCCCGAGCGCCCCGGTTTTGGCCTCGCACCCCTCGGTGCCAGCTCCGCGCGGCTCTGCCTAGGGTGCAGAGGGTGCGCTACCACGGGAGCGGGAGGACGGAGGGGGGAGGGGGGAAGCAGGGGGGGCGGGGAGGGAGCAGGGAGGGGGGGGGGGGGGCGGAGAGAGGGCGAGGAGGAAGGAGGGAGGAAAGAGAGGGGGAAGGGAGGAGAGAGGGAGGGGAGGAGGGGGGAGGAGAGTGCGAGGACGAGGGGGAAGGACGAGGGAGGAGGGCAGAGGGAGGAGGGCGGAGGAGGACGAGGAGGGAAGAGGGAGGAGGGAGGAGGGGCTAGTCGTCGGGCGGATTGGCACTACCTTACGGCCAAGAGGAACTGCAAGCTGCACGGGCACTGCCTGGATAAGTTGGCACGTTCTTCGTGCCGTCCTTGGGAAACGGAGGGACTGGAGTCGTGGTAGCGTGGCACAAAACATGCGCCGTGCCGGTTGCGATTCCACGTCGGAGTGAGCCTGTGAGCCATGGCGGACAACCCCGCACTGCGTTATTCGCGTGACCCGCGGGCAGGCCAGACCACCAAAACAATATACAGTTCCTGAAGACGTTGGGAGCACACAGTGGGCCATGAAAGCGGGAAAATAACAGGACGTCGACTTCGCAATGCGGGAATCCGCCGACCCTCCAACGGAGATGGCACCTGCCATGCAGCTGGCTGGCCACTACTCGGGCAAAAACGACTTCGACTTCCATCATGCCGAGCTCCGGCCGCGTGCGTCTCGGGGCGAGCCAAATTTGGCACGACCGAAATGGGTACGGATGCATGTATGCCAGCGTGGACCCTCAACTGCGAGATGTTTCACTGCTATGTCGTGTGATAGATGCGGTGTGATCAATGTGGTGTGGGCTGTGAAGTGTAAGCTATGTGGCGCAATATACCTATACGACCACCCTTCGGGTGATAAGGAGGTTCGGGGGGGGAGGAACCAACGTCTCACTGGATCGGTCTCACTATCGATCTCACTGTCGATCTCAGTATCGGTCTCGCTCGATCGATCTCCCTCGATCGATCTCACAATCGATCTCACTCGATCTATCTCACAATTGATTTGACTATCGATCTCACAATCGATCTCACAATCGATATCACATTCGGTCTCACTATCGATTTCACCATCGATATCACAACCGCTCTCA